AAAGAACGGCCGGGGGAATCGATCTCGTCGGTTTCCGATAACACAGACCTTGGTCTCGGTAGCGCAACATTTGGCTTCCCTTCTCGCGGCTTCCGCCACTTCCGCGTCTTCCTCGTCGTCATCGTCGAGGCTCTCGTTTCCACTTTACCCTGTGCTTCTCGTTTTCCCCGCTGCTCGCTCCTCCGATTGCTTATCCTTTCTCCTGTGTTCTTCTCTTCTTTAACGCGATAATAATTAAGACAAAAAAAAATAGAGAATTTGGTGGTTGCCGGTCATGATCGATAAAATAGACCGAGCTAGGACGAAGCGTTTTTTTTCTTTTTTATTTTTTTTCCCCGAAATGATGCGGAGATGTCGAATTCCGAGGCGCTTGATTATTCGACCGAAACGACGATTGCTCAAATATTCGTCATAAAAACGGCCGTCGTAGGATATGAATTTTGTACGCGGGCGTAACGTACGAGCGGGCGACGCTGCACAAACAGCAGTAAATTCTAACCGACACGTGAGATCTTGTCGTTTAATCGGCCGTTATGTGTGTCTACGTGTAACATTATCATTTTATAATCACGTTGGATCTCTGTATTTTAGTTACAGGACAAGCCGCCTAATTGAACTTGTAACGACCTCTCGGTTCGCGTCGGCAACGTCCGCCGGAGTAACCACTTTGCAATGTTTATCGGTAATCCGTTTCTGCCGGATCACGCGCGGGAAATGCGATCGTATAAAGCGCGATTCTCGCGCGTAGTATCGCGCCGATGATATTCTCGCGACTCCGCCGACTGTTTCGTTACAAACCGCGTGCGCGCGTGCGAGCGAGGTGAGAAATTTTCCGAGGGAGATTCTCGACGACGACTTCGCGTCCTCGAAGAAGGCGCGCGATTGCGCGCGTTGAATCGCATGTTTACGCGGCAGAATGAAGGCAAGCGAAGGTAATGCGAGATGAAGCGAGCGAGCGAACGCGAATCGATAAAGGGTGACGAGTCGCGAGAGAGCGTTACACGCGCTTATTATTATTTATTCGCTTCATGCCGACGCACGCGCCGATTGCGCGCTCCCTTTTTCTCGCGTCTCATCGGGCGACGACGTGTTTTCGGACCGTGACTCACGCGGCTCGATAAACGGAGATCGGCGGAATTATTGATATTCAACGGTGCGCGTGATTCTCTCTCATTTTGGACGACTCGGCGCCGATAGAGCTCTCTCGTCGCCAAACGGCGCCGAGACGCGCGCGCGTGAGAAATTTTTCAAGCGAACCAGTCGGAATTGGCCGATTCCGCCGCTGCGACCTTCTCCTCCCCCTCTCCCCTATCGGTGGTGACCTCCGAGCAGCGGCGTGAAAGAGTCCCCGGATTCTTATTTGATCGAATGCATTTTATCGATCATAAAGCTGTCATGGCGACGACATTGCCGCTCTCTTGCGTAATGCCACTTGGAAACGTGACTCGGGCACTTGGAAGTTTCTTTCGAGCGTCTCGAGTTACACTCGCGCGGCAGCTTCGCGATCGATATTATGCAATCACGTGACGAGGAAACGCCGTTGTTCACTGCAAAAATGCCCCGGTCCTTTTTGCATTCTCCCGCGGCCGAAGCGGCGCGGCGGCTTGCCTATTGCTGTCCAATTCGCTGTCCGGATCGCGAAACACTCGCGCGACGGTTCACACCGCGAAATTACCGCGGGAAAGCGTCACGAATCTCGGAGTTGTGATTTTTACTTGCTTCGCGTCGCTCTTTGAGCGCGCGCGCGCCATGTCGGCTGAAGCACGTATGGATTTTTCCTCTGCTGTTGCAACCTTTCCTCCTCCCCCTCCCCCTTTTATATTTCTTTATTCTCATCTGTCTTAGCTTTGTTATTTTTACTTATATCTGTTGCTCTCCCGTCAGTTTATGCATTCTCTTGCTCTCTTCTCTGTTTTACATTATTTTCTCCGTTACCTTTGTGTCGTATTTTTTGCTTTCGTTGCGATTGTTATAATTCATGTCGAAGCGTCATTCTTTCCCTCCTTCCCCCCCCTCTCTCTTTCTCTCTCTCTCTGATATCGTTTCGTTAATGCCACTACATGCGTCAAAACATGAGCTGCAGTTTTGTGACATCGCGAGCGACAACGCACAGCGTCTTCGCGAGCAAATCTCCGTCTTGGATCTGCGCCGGGCGCGAGAAATCGCGGCGGTTGCCGGCGGCGACCGCGGTTTCTTCCGCCCCCTTCGTTTCCTTTTTTCCTTTCTTTCTTCCGTCGCGAGGTGCATTTGTCTCGTTTGCGCGCTCGCTCTAACGAACGAGAGCCCGGATGGAGGAGCGGCCCGCATTTCGCCGGATATCGAGCTTGGCGTGCTCGTCGAATGATTTATGAGCCGACGCGTTTTTCGCGTGTCCACTTGTGAAAGATTACTCCTCCGCTGCGACGTGGGCACATGCGTCGTCGGTCGCGCGCGCATACACATGCATATGCACCGGCCGCGTTATACATTCGTCATGTATTTCGTCATGTCTCAGTTGTCC